ATATATATATATATATATATATATATAACTGAAGTTTCATTTTATCCGTTAAACCTTCTGCTACTCTATCTTCAATTCCTTAAAGGCACTAAAGCTTTCTTTCTTTCATTGGACGTACCAATACATATGCTGAAGACTGGTAGTATAATGAGACTGCTTATAATACTGCAGGATTATGGAACCCTTGCTGTATGGAGACTATCCCATTTCCATGAAGACAAATGCAGGTGAAAGAATTCCAGCCTTCACAATTCGCGAATCCGAACAAGTTAAGGGTTCATATGACTTCATAGGCGTAATTCACTACACCAATTCTAATGTCACAGACAACTCTGATGCCCTTGAGAAGCAACTGAGAGATTACAGTGCAGACATGGCTGCAAAAATATGTAAGTACTTCGTTAAGTTTAAGGATAGTGAATTTAGTAAAAAATTAAAGTTGGTCATGCAAGTTTACTGTGGAAATTGAATTCACTGGATTCTTTTAATGATCATCATGAAATTTGAACTTGTTGAACTTTCACATCATTTACCATCTCACTCTTTTTACAGTAATGTATAATATCCCTCCACAATAACCTAATAATCTCTTGATACTTTATAAAGAAAATTTCAAGTAAAAAAGTTAAATTTGTTTAATTTCTTAAAAAATGAAAAGAAATCCGATGCATTCTTTGTTTAGTGATTAGGCTTGGGAGAATTATTTAGACAATGTTGTAGAATGATTTAAATTATATTTTTCGATCATGAACTCAACAGGGTGATTCACTCATTTTTTAGTATTGTAATGACTCATTGCTTTCCTCGTTTTGCAGTAGGACAGGGGGATCTGTTTACAAATAAAGAGGTAACCATAAAATTAAAAAAAATCACGTGTCTCATAATAGATTGGTCCAATTTTTTAGATTACTTCGCTGTATGATGACTAACCGGCTTTACTTGATCCAGTTCGCTGTCACACCGTGGGGTTTGCAACAAGAGTTGAATAATTTCAAGCTTCTTTATGGCAATCCTCCTATATTCATCCATGAAAATGGTCTCTCTCTCTCTCTCTGAAGATTATATTTGATTGCTGTGAATATTTTTTAGTAAAATCATCTCTCCTTGTTATGAGAGTTAAATATTAAAATGGGATCAAAGTTTTGTTGTAATAGACAAACCAACTTGGTAGCATTAGACATTTAACGTTTCAATCATGTTACTTGCTTATCCGTTTTCCCATTTTTGTTAATACTTGTAACTGACAATGTCATATTGTCATTAGTTGATGGCACATGGAGATTAACCAGTATTTTCCAATGTATTGGCATCCTAAGTTGTTTGGAATTTTGAACTCAACCATTTACAGTACATGTATCAATGGTAAACTGGGAAATCCTGTTGACGATATATAGGGTGCTTGTGTGGAACATGGTGAGTTTAAATATGTTGTTAATGACTGAACAAATTCTGATTTTTTAGGACAACGGACACCTAGCAATTCGTCACTGCAAGACGTGTCAAGGGTGAAATACTTGCATGGATATATTGGGGGCGTTCTTGATGCCTTGAGGTATGCATTCACTGAACTAACTCATCTAGTTCATACGTATCACAAAATTCCTTTTTAATCCTAACCCATCGAACTATATTGTTAATATATCACCCCAAATTTTCTCAGAGATGGATCAAATATAAAGGGGTATTTTGCATGGTCTTTCCTGGATTTGTTTGAGTTGCTGGATGCATACAAGTCGAGCTTTGGCCTATACTACGTTGATAGAAATGATCCAGAGTTGAAGAGATACCCAAAGCTTTCTGCAAAATGGTACAGCCAGTTTTTGAAAGGAAAAAATGCCTCTATAGTTGAAGTTATTGAACTTGAGAAGGATCCATCCCTTGTTTCTGTTGGCCACTTATTTGGTTAGGTTCTTTAATTTTGTTTTCACAAGATCATTATTTAGTGGTGTTATTAGCAAAGACGGAACTATGGCTATGAGACTAAAATTTTAATCTTTCTCATATATATATATATATATATAAAATTG